TGTTCCTGTCAAGCACGAGCTTCTCGCACAAGAAACGTCACCGTCTTATATAGAAACCGCCAACCTCTTCACAGCGCTGCACCCGAATCGACCACATCGCTATCAGTTACCACTGGAGGGGATCAATTCAAGACTGCCGCTCTTACTGCTCAACACCTGTTGATACGGACCACGCTTTGCTACGAGCCAAATTCTCCTTACGCGTGACAAACAACCGTAAAAAAGCCACCGAAAACGGATACCTACGATACAATGTCAGCGATTGTTGCAAATCGGCCTTCGAAGTGGAACTCTCCGACCTCCTGTTAGTTCAACCACCAGCCGAAGGACTCAATGAACACTGGAAGTAAATCAAGGAAGCTATGCAAATATCANGACCCTCACGCAGGCTCAAAACATAAACGATGGATCTCATCGACCTCGGCTGCCCTGCTGGACGCCCGCAGAACCTTTCCTCCGGATGCCGCATATAACACAGCGCGCAAATCCCTCAAACGCCAGCTCATCAAGAGTCTGAGGAATGACCGCGAGAAGTGGTGGGTAGGAAAGTATAGAGAGATGGAGAAGGCTGCGGCTATTGGTAACAGTCGTAATCTTTTCCGTCTAGTTGGGAATACGGGCCCTAGGAAAATAAGCGTAAGTGAGGTGATTAAGGAATCCGATGGCACACTGATTCACGATCAGCAAAGCCGTCCCGATCGCTGGGCTGAACACTTCAAGGCCCAGTTCAACTGGCCCCCATCGACATCTGAAATGTCACTCTCCACCGCGACTGCGCAAATTCTGCCAGTCGATGCCAGTCCTCTATTTGATATGGAGGTTTCCCGGGAAATAAGGTATCTCAAAAGGCATAAGACCTCTGGCCCAGACGGACTCTCCCCATCCGTTTTTAAGGATGGAGGTTTAGCGTTGGTTTCAGAGTTGACGAAACTCCCGGTCTCAGAGTAGAAGAGGGAAGAGGTTCTAGCTGAGTGGTGTGAATCGGTCACCATACAAGAAAGGTGACAAATCCTCTTCTGAAAACCACAGGGGAATTAGTTTAATCAACATTGCCTCTAAACTTCTCGCTGGTATCACACTACGTCGATTGTCTACCGCACGTGAGGAGTGCAAGCGTGAGAACCAGGCTGGTTTCAGACCTGGTCGAGGTTGTATCGACCACGTCTTCACTGTTCGCCAAACTCTGGAGTTCCGAAATTCTTTTCGTAGACCCATTATCTCTATTTTCCTGGATTTTAAAGCGGCCTTCGACTCAGTCGACCACTCTAAACTCTGGTGCAACCTTTCCCTGAAAGGTGTGCCCGAGAAGTTTATTTCTATATTACAATCCCTCTACAATAATAGCCGAAGTCGAGTCCGGGCTTACGCCACATTTCTGCCCGAGTTCACCACAAAAAGTGGTGTTCGACAGGGTTGCCCTTTGTCTCTTTTTCTATTCAACTTTGTTATAGATTTGATTATGGAAACAGCCTTGTCCTCGTGCAAGGATAGTGGCATGGATTTGCTCCCAGGTGGCAGGCTGCCTGATCTAAAGTATACCGACGACATTGTGCTACTAAGTGAAGATCCAGGTAAGTTACAAGTTTTTCTGGAAAGTTTGAGTGCTAGCGTGTCCATGTTTTGTATGCGTTTTGCACCTTCAAAGTGTAAAATGCTACTACAAGACTGGGTTGGTCCAGCACCCAGCCTCACTCTAACTGGAGAAGTAATAGAACAGGTGGATAAGTTTTGTTATTTGGGCAGCTACATCTCACGCGGTGGACACATCATGGATGAAGTGTCTTCTCGCATACAGAAGGCTCAGTTGGCATTTGCCAAATTGGGACATTTGTGGCGCCGTCGTGACATTCGGCTGTCTGTGAAGAGTCGAGTATATGATGCAGTAGTTCGGCCAGTTCTGCTATATGAAGCAGAAACTTGGCCATTAAGAAAACAGGAC